GACCGTCTCAGTGCAGAAGAACCTGCCTGGCAGGACCTCATTCCTCTTTCCCATGGGGCACATTCCAATGCCCCCATCCTTCCTCCACCATTTCCTGGACCCTAAAGGCCAATGAAGTTTCTCTCAACCACCAGCACCGGCACTCCCATTTCCTCCGAGCTGCTTCACCATCCCCAGCTTTGCCTACCTCTCGGGGCTTCACCTGGATGTGGCACCACCACCCTCCTTTGTGGATCGGGATGCTCCTCCAAAGGGCGACCGCATCCTCCCTCCTGGCGGCTCCCCCGAACTTTCATCGCCTCAGCTCCACACAACCCCTCACAACCCCGAAATAACCTTCCAGGAGCAAGTTCTCCTTTTTTCTTGTTCACCCTGGCCGCCCCCACAAATAACTCGCCCTTCGCCATGCATGGCAGCAGCAGCAGCAGTGGCAGAGGCTGGGGCTCACATTCCATAGCGCCTAGCGAGGGACCCGCCTCAGAAGCAGCAGCAGCAGTGGCATTGTCATCACTAGGCTTGGCTGCCCTAAGCGAGGCCAAGGCTGCAAGCGAGGCCTAAACCTCTCAGCCCGGCCCTGAGGTAAAAACGCGAATAGGCAAGAGGAGGAAAGGAAGGAGGTGTGGCCAAAATGCAAGTGCGCCCCTGGGCGTGCAAGGGAGAAACTGGGAAAAAAATCTCCCACCAATTCGCCGTCCCACTACTGGCTGGGGGTCTCGCCACCATCCACCCACCCTCTCCTCGCGATTGGACGGCTTGCTTGGGAGGTTGAGGCAGGCCGGATAAAAAGACAGATCAGGCCGTAATTTGAGGACCCGAACTACAGCTTTGGTGGCTCTGTAGGCAGAGCTGAAAAGTTCTCTTCTCTGACAGAGAAGAGAACTTCGCAGCTCTGCCTACAGAGCCACCAAAGCAGCAGGTGGAGTGTGGAGGCTCAGGGAAAGAGGGTGCTGAAGTGGGCGGTCGTAAGACCAACACATCTGAGCAGAAAGGGGCCTCAGAACAAGTGGGGCAGGTAAGGAAAGAAATCCTTTGAGGCTGCTTTCCGCTCAACTGCATTGCTCTTGCCAATGGCCCGACCACCCACTTCAGCACACTCCATTCCCGAGCCTCTGGGCTCCACCTGCTGCTTTGGTCGGCCTGCCAGCCCCCACCTCAACGCCCTGCCCACCACCTACCATGGCCGCCCTGGGGCTGCAGGGCCTGGCCTGGCACGGGCCCCATCCTCCCGCTATCATGCATTCCCCATTGTCTGAGTTATTAATCCAATCACAGTTCAATTAACACTGCCAAAAAATCTCAGGCACATCCATTCAATTTTCCACTGCAGCCTATTAAAGTCAGCAGCCACATCCTTTGCATCCCGCTATGAACTTACCTCCAACACCAACACTCATTGAAGGCGAACACATTGAGATCAAAGACATTCTTGATTCCCGCTTTTTAAGGGGCAAACTCCAATACTTAATCCTATGGAAGGACTTTCCTCCCTCTAAAATGAGTGGGTTGATGTGCAACATATGCAAGCCCCACCTGTCAGAGCCCATATTTTAAAGGGCCTTTTCTTTCTCTCTAAACCCAAATTGCATTCTCTTCTCTCCCTGGGTTCTGCCATACTCCTGGAGGGGAGGGGGGAAGCGCTTGAGGGTTATTGCCTTGTTTCCTCTATCACTACAATGTGCTGTCCCTGCATTTCTTCCTCTGTGAACTTTCTCTCCCCTGTTGTCAGCTAGAAAGGGGGGAGGAGAATGGAATGTACCTCCGGCAACTGTTTTATCTCCACGTTCACAAGGGAAGGTGCGAAGCGCCGCCTAAACATCGCTGCAGTCTGGAGACGGCCTGATGTTATCTCCTTTTTCCCACAACAAACCTAACATCTTGGGATTGGCCTGTTTGAACTGACCAGATGAACTATGGGGTGGGGTTATGCTTGGGGATACTTTTTATCTATCGATCTGGCAGGAAACCCTCAGATCCTGTCTATTATGCCTGCTATCGGCTTCTCCTAATAAAAGCTCCTTTTGGAAGAAACCGCTTCCACGAGTTCTACTTTCTTGGGATGAGGTATTGAAGTCCTGACAGCACATCTTCTTCGAAAATTCCATGGCAAATATCCCAATAAACCCCATTGAAATAGCTCATTAACTGCTTATTTTGTCTCTTTCTCTCTTTCCTAGGATTAGTCTTTTGCACCATTGCTGCTTTGCTGATGCCAGACTGCCATGAACCCTGAGGGAAGGGAGAGAGCCAACAGAGGGTGGCCTTCCCAACTGCTACACCCCACCGCGGGGAGGCGGACCCAGGAGAAATAAGATGGTTCCGCCCCAGGCGCCTGATGGATCCTGAGAGATTCCAGATGGAGCTTGGGCCAATACCTGTGACTCCGACCCACGGCTCAGCGGGGGACCTGGTGGCCGCCTGGAATAGGGCGGCCGGTGGGGCCTTAGACCGGGTCGTGCCACTGCGGCCTCTCCCCCGTCGCCGGACCACCTGGGCTCCCTGGTTTTCCGGAGAGCTCAGGGGGATGAAGCGCCAGAGGAGATGCCTAGAGGGTGTTTGGAGGACTACCCGCTCCGAGACCGACCGGACACGGGTAAGGTCACATTTAAGGACTTACCTAGTGGCGTTG